TCGTCAGGAGGAACGTTTATACTGGGTTTCTCCCCCTCCCCCCCCTTTCAATCCATACAACTCACTGAACTGCTCTTAACTGCTCTTTCACCTTTGACACGGTAGTAAAAACTAGTTAACCATCCCAAGGGTTTTGTTTTCACAGGTGAGGGAACATGAGCATTGTGGCACTTTGCTTACGTGCACCAGTCCAAACAAATAGATCTTACTTGTTTTACGATATCATTCATGTGTAAATGCAAAGGCATATGACCGCCCTTTCGCTGAAACATGCTGGGGACTGAAGCATGATTGCTAGGCTTGTAAGGGGGCAAGGCTCTGAAATGGTCAGTAGAATTCCTCAACACCTTTCCAACTCTACGTAGAGTTCAGCTCAGGCACACCTAAGCCTATTTACTTCACTGGGTTTAAACATCTCTAACTTTCTAAAAGATTGGGCTGGTGCATACCTAACCAAAATCTTGGAGATGGGGGAAGTGATACAGATATCCATCTTATCAAGATATTATACACACAGCATGGGAAGGTACCACTAAGGTACCTAAGGTACCACTAAGGTACCTAAGGTACTAAAAAAGCCAATGCAATTCTGGGCCTCATCAATAGGAGTATAGCATCTAGATCAAGGGAAGTAATAGTGCCACTGTATTCTGCTCTGGTCAGACCTCACCTGGAGTACTGTGTCCAGTTCTGGGCACCACAGTTCAAGAAGGACACTGACAAACTGGAACATGTCCAGAGGAGGGCAACCAAAATGGTCAAAGGCCTGGAAACGATGCCTTATGAGGAACGGCTAAGGGAGCTGGGCATGTTTAGCCTGGAGAAGAGGAGGTTAAGGGGTGATATGATAGCCATGTTCAAATATATAAAAGGATGTCATATGGAGGAGGGAGAAAGGTTGTTTTCTGCTGCTCCAGAGAAGCGGACACGGAGCAATGGATCCAAACTACAAGAAAGAAGATTCCACCTAAACATTAGGAAGAACTTCCTGACAGTAAGAGCTGTTCGACAGTGGAATTTGCTGCCAAGGAGTGTGGTGGAGTCTCCTTCTTTGGAGGTCTTTAAGCAGAGGCTTGACAACCATATGTCAGGAGTGCTCTGATGGTGTTTCCTGCTTGGCAGGGGGTTGGACTCGATGGCCCTTGTGGTCTATTCCAACTCTATGATTCTATGATTCTAAGGTGGTCATGGTAACTACTTCACAGAGGGTAGACTTGGCATTTGAAGGGAAGTCAGAGAGGATAGACCTCTGCTTGAAGGTGCCCTTTATTTGAAGGGCTGCCCAGTTGAAGTCTGGTTTAAAGATAAAGAATCCTAAGAAGGACGAACAGGGACCTTGAAAGTTGCCCATCCAGTGTGCTAAAGAGTATATGAAAAAACATTGTTCTGGAGTAAGCATATCGGTATGTAATGAATGAAGCTTTGCAGGGTTAAAGAAAGAGAAAAATGGTGTAAAAAGTATAAAGATAGAGGTAATCTACATTAGACACAACAACTTAGAAAGAGTAAAAATTTTGAGGTCTTAGAACAAAGGAAGGAAGTCAATATGTGTATATGTAGGTAATGATTAGGGACGCGGGTGGCGCTGTGGGTTAAACCACAGAGCCTAGGACTTGGCGATCAAAAGGTCAGCGGTTCGAACCCCCGTGACAGGGTGAGCTCCTGTTGCTCAGTCCCTGCTCCTGCCAACCTAGCATTTTGAAAGCACGTCAAAGTGCAAGTAGATAAATAGGTACCACTCCGGCGGGAAGGTAAACGCCATTTCCGTGCACTGTTCTGGTTCGCCAGAAGCAGCTTAGTCATGCTAGCCACATGACCCGGAAGCTGTACGCCGGCTCGCCTGGCCAACAAAGTGAGATGAGCGCCACAACCCCAGAGTCAGTCATGACTGGACCTAATGGTCAGGGGTCCCTTTACCCTTTACCTTTATGTAATGATTAGATTAGAATGGTGATATGGTTTTATTTGTAGAAGTGTGTTTTTGTTTTTTGTGTTCTTTTTTCTCTTGTGTTTTGTTTTCTTGTTTGTACTGTTGTTGTTTTATTCATTGTTTGTAATTTTTGTTGTAATTTTGCATTGAAAATAAAAGAAAAAAGAAAGTTGCCCATCCAGTTAGTACCTGCACAACAGACACACAGGTAACTGGGTCACAGTCTTCCCCACTATGGTAAGACAATATACTGTATTTATATTTAAAGCATAGCAGTCATTTCTAAATTTGCCCATGTGCATATAAATTAGTACACTGGTTATATTTTTTTTTGCAAAATCTGTGCCCCCTTTATGTCATCTTTTTTAGGCTATGCAATTCCTCTTTTCTAGCAATGTGCAAGTGGCAACCCAAGCTATCACTTGGACTACCTCCCAAAGTGACCTTGATGGCTGTGAGACCTACTGCACACCACTTAGTCATGCCAGATGTGTGAGGCCCTGTAGCACTGTGGTTTCTTCTCACATTGTGTGAGATGCTTGCATGTGATCTAAGACTTCTGAAAGGTCACCAGAAAGAACTATGCTGAAGCAGCTCTCTTGCCACTAATATGGTGACATTGGAAGAAGCTCTAAGTTAATGGTTGTCTCAATTCAACAACCCTGCTAATAAGAGGTCTGTACATTCTAGTGTTTTCCCCTTCTTCAGCTAAGCAAGCTTCTCTAATAGACCTTTTCTGTATAAGGCAACAGCAAGATGAGAAAGAAACTTATTTTGTCTTCTTCAATCAGTCAACCAACACTATCACCAAAAACTTCTTCCATGAAGCAATTTGCTGAAGAAAGCAAGCACACACACACAGACTGCAAATGTTATCAAATGATCAGCCTTTCCTTGGAGATGAACGAGGAAACTCCCAATGATTTAAGCACAGGACCACACAGATGGTTGGGAGTGGTGAGATCAGTTACAAAGAAGGATAAGGCTATAAATTTCCCATGGCTATCGCACACAGTCTGCTACACCTGGCCTTTGCAGAGGTCCTGGGAGATGGCGATCAGTTCTGCCATTGGTAGAACTTGTTCCTTATCTAAGGATTAAAAGAATTTGACCAACTGCAGAGAGGGAATGAGAGGGGGAGCATGAAGAACAAGACAAAGCAGCTGCTAGATGAGTTCAGTAGAGTAAATGTGTAACTGAGGTCAGAAATTGGCAACATGGCTTCAACCTAGGTCATTTTTGTGCACCATTTAGTGATGAAAGATGAGGAGTCCTCCTGACAGGGCTGTTCTTTTAGAGCAAACACAGGAAAGTGGAGAGTGAAAGTGTAAAACAGGCATGGCTGATGCCTGCAGTTGGCAAGGATCTTTCCAGAGTCAAGACCTGTTAAGGGGCCCATCAAAACCCAATGCTGCCATTTTGCTTTTGCTTCAAATATGGCTCACACCAAGTGAGATGACGCACCTGACTCTCCTGTCACAATAATAATAATAATAATAATAATAATAATAATAATAATTTATTATTTATACCCCGCCCATCTGGCTGGGCTTCCCCAGCCACTCTGGGCGGCTTCCAAAAGAATATTAAAATACTATAATACATCAAACATTAAAAGCTTCCCGAAACAGGGCTGCCTTCAGATGTCTTCTAAAAGCCTGGTAGTTGTTGTTCTCTTTGACATCTGGTGCGAGGGTGTTCCACAGGGAGGGTGCCACTACCGAGAAGGCCCTCTGCCTGGTTCCCTGTAACTTGGCTTCTCACAGTGAGGGAACCGCCAGAAGGCCCTCGGTGCTGGACCTCAGTGTCCGGGTAAAACGATGGGGGTGGAGAAGCTCCTTCAGATATACTGGACCGAGGCTATTTAGGGTTTTAAAGGTCTGCACCAACACTTTGAATTGTGCTCGGAAACGTACTGGGAGCCAATGTAGGTCGTTCAAGACCGGTGTTATGTGGTCTCTGCGGCCGCTCCTGAACAATAGAGTTCAGGGATGATTTCTAACCAGGTAGGGCCTTCATAGGATGCACTGGCCTGGCTCACAATTAGTGCTAAGCCAAACCAAGGCTATGTGTCAGTGAGGGAGCTTGTAGCTACTCGTGGGGAAAAATCACAACGGCTTGACTCCTCCTTTGGTGGTGGTAGTGGTGCTGCTGCTGCTGCTTAAACCTGGGCTCGTGGTTTCTCTCTCTCCAGACAAATCGTAATTGGTAACCAAGGTTTGTCCTCAAGGTCCTGCTAATCGAGTACAGTGGTACCTTCGGTTAAGTACTTAATTCGTTCCGGAGGTTTGTTCTTAACCTGAAACTGTTCTTAACCTGAAGCACTACTTTAGCTAATGGGGCCTCCTGCTGCCGCCACGCCACCGGAGCATGATTTCTGTTCTCATCCTGAAGCAAAGTTCTTAACCTGAGGTACTATTTCTGGGTTAGCGGAGTCTGTAACCTGAAAGGTATGTAACCCGAGGTACCACTGTACAGTCGTACCTTGGATCCCGAATGCCTGAAACTCGGAAATCTTGGCTCCTGAACGCTGCAAACCCGAAACTGATTGTTCTGGTTTGCGAACATTCTTTTGGAACCTGAATGTCCGACGGGGCTTCCACGTCTTCTGATTGGCTGCAGGAGCTTCCTAGGCAATCAGAAGCTGCAATTTGGTTTTCGAATGTTTTGGAAGTCAAACTGACTTCTGGAAGGGATTCAGTTTGACTTCCAAGGTACGACTGTACTATGAAACACAAGTCCAGTACCACTGCCTGGTACAAAGCACGCAGATATTCCAATCTACCTCATGTAATCTCAGTGACTACCCTTTGAGATAGAAGATGCATTCTTGATCCTATTTATAATCTAAATCCTGGTACAGAATGTGTCTTCAAAGCATCCTGTAGCAGCCGCCCAGTTGCCTTGTCGACATTGGCAAAGAACGAGCAAATCTCCTTGCACATGACTGAAGAGCCCACACGTGGCTCTGTGTGTCTAGCACCACTTATAAATGCTAGCTTCTAATGAGGTAAAGTTTGAAGGTCATTTTAGTCTGTGGTTTCTGCCAATGTAAAGACAAGGAAGTTACTCAGTTTCCACTCAATGATTTATTATGATTTATTATTCTCCTTAACAGGTGAAAAATTGACCTTGCTGTTTAAGCAAGGTGAAGACATACGTTTGTGAGACAGTATATATTGGCCCATTGCCAGATATAATCTTCTTTAAAATTATTATATTGGTTTCAAATCTAATCATGCCTAGTTGTCTAGGTCTGCATAAATGGTGGCCCATGAAGCCCAAAGCAGCCAACTCAACGTGTAAAATATGTTAGACAGTCGCCCTAGCTGCTTGGCTAGATGGATGACTAGGGACGATGCAGCAATGGTAGTCGATTCCCATTAAGACCCGTGGGATTTACTTCCAAGCAAACATGCGTAGGACTCAGCTGCCATCCTTGTCCTGCCGTCCGATGTCGTCTGAGTTCTAGAATTCCGTTGGTTTGGAGGAAAATGTTTCATTCTCCTCTTCATCGTAAAAATATCCAGCGTTTCTAATGTAGCTGTGAGTGTCACTGCAGACCTTGAACCGTTAAGGATGCCAAGGGTGTTGGAGCTTTGCCCAAGAACATCAGTCTTGAAGGCTGGATCCTAGCCTAGAGAACCAGCTGTGGCTTAGCTCCCACTGAGGTGCTTAATCTGTATCTGGGTTGTATCATTTCAGACTGCAGGTGGGATCTCATGTGATGAAATCCTGCCTCATTGTTTAAAAAATTTCCATACGTATAAAACTTAGCATGCCAGGGAGAAGGCTGTGATTCACAGTATACCTAGTGGTTAGCATAATTTGTGACTCGCTTGATGGATCACAATTTCATATTTTATGTAAGAAAGCAAGAGGGGGGGGAGACGTTTTATTGTCTAGCCTACAGGGCCTTTGCAATTTCCAATACAAAATCAACTTGAAAACCACCAAAAATATATATACATTCTGTGTACACCCAACATTTCACTTGGGGAAAAAATAAAACAAAATGATATTAAGGGAAGTGTTTCCTGCGTGGAAACAGCTGTTCAGAAGAGAGGTTTTTTGGCAGGTGTCAATTCAAACAGCCTCAGAGACAGAAAAACTGCACCTGGAGAAAATTCCCCTTTCCGCACGACTACGAAAGGTTCAGCTCCACATTTATTCACTTGGTTTCCATCCTTAGAACTGGTTCTGCCTCTGTTCTGTCACTTCGGTCTGAAGGCTGGGAGTAAATGATTCAGATTTCTCCACCTATACGCAGAACATGGCGCCGATGCTTTGGTGTGGGCATGGCAAAACCCAGGCTGCGGGAACAGCTGCAAGCACCGAGTTAAGCAGTTGTGCCTGAACCATTCCCAGCTCCCTCTTCCGGATGAGCTCCCCCACCCCACCCCACTGCAACAAGGCAGCAAAATGCCATGCGATTTGTCACAGCACTGAAAATTGTGTCATTCTCCTCCGCTTGCCAATTTTGCTAATACATTTGGTTTGGCCAGCTGGCAAGCAGAGAGTTTCGTAGTATGCATTTTCATGTTAGCATCCAGGCCTTTCTGCACCTAGACTCGCTTTATTCATGCCTGCACAGAGTCAGAACCAGTCGCAATAGTGGGAACTGGCAGTGGGGGAATCAAATTCTTAGGTGCCTGCATCAAATCCTCTCTTGTTTTGATTTTTAAAAAAATTATCATCTTATGGCTGCAATCCTATACACCAGAGGTGGGAAATTTACGCCCAGACCCAAATCAGACCTCCAGGCCATTCTGCCTGGTCCTTAGGATTCTCTCCTGGCTATATCTTCTCCTGGACCACATCTCTCACCTTCTTCCACACCCTCCTTGAGTGGTTTACCCATCTGAAATGTGCTCTTGAGCTCTGATAACTTTGGTCAATGGCCTGGATGAAAAAAAAGAGAGAGAAGGGTTTTGTGACTGTGTGAAGAAACTAGCATTCTGTAGAAAGGCACACTTTTCTTTCATTGCTCTGCCTGCTTTTTGCACTGTGGTCCAGTTCCGAGGGCCTTCTGGCGGTTCCCTCACTGCGAGAAGGGAAGCTACAGGGGACCAGGCAGAGGGCCTTCTCGGTGGTGGCGCCCACCCTGTGGAATGCCCTCCCATCAGATGTCAAGGTAATAAACAACTATCTGACTTTTAGAAGACACCTGAAAGCAGCCCTGTTTAGGGAAGTTTTAACGTTTGAGGTTTTATCGCACCAGTCAAACCCTATAGATGGAACAACCTTCCTGGCAAACATGGGCATAGGCAGGAATTTTGTTGTTGGCCTTTTGCGGGGGGAGATCACGGGTAAAACTCCCCCCCCCCAAAAAAGAGGACATTACAGGGGGGGCAGGTTTCTGCTGGATGGGCAGGAACTCAATTGAGTATTTTCAATGCTTTACAATACTTTTTGTGGATTGGGGGGGCACCAGCTCCCCCCCCCCGTGGCTACACCCATGCTGGCAAAGGACCCCTGCTGATGAACATGGGATCTGTGGGGGTGAATACTCCCTTCCTCCTGTCCCATCATCATCTCAAGAGAGCTCTGCTGCTTTGCTCTTATATTTCATTGTGTGTGACTTAAGGCACACCGGGGGGCGGGGTTACAAAGATCCTGCTTGGCCCCTCCCCCAGGCAACCATGGGATGTCCTTCTCCAGTCCACAAGCAGCACGCAGGGAATCTCTGCTTGCTCACCTTTGGAGCAGACAAATGCTACTGAGGATCCTAGAAATTAGGGTAGATTTAGAAATGGCGCCCAAGTCCACCAGTTACAGAAACCATGTCCCCACTATGTAGCATCACTGTAGCTAGGCTTGGTCTACCTCTAAAGATAAGGGTAAAGGGACCCCTAACCGTTAGGTACCAGTCGCAAACGACTCTGGGGCCGCAGCGCTCATCTCGCTTTATTGGCCGAGGGAGCCGGCGTACAGCTTCCGGGTCATGTGGCCAGCATGACTAAGCCGCTTCTGACAAACCAGAGCAGCGCACGGAAATGCCGTTTACCTTCCCGCCAGAGTGGTATCTATTTATCTACTTGCACTTTGATGTGCTTTCAAACTGCTAGGTGGGCAGGAGCAGGGACCGAGCAATGGGAGCTCACTCCATCGTGGGGATTTGAACCACCGACCTTCTGATCGGCAAGCCCTAGGCTCTGGTTTAGACCACAGCAGAAGAATAAAGTGACAGACTCCTGAGACAGGCAGATGGCAGACATGATAATTGCCTGCAGGCAGGAGATGACCTCTCTGGAGATTTCCAATCTATATGTTTTTGGGTTTGTTTGTTTTTAAAGGATTCCTTTAAAATTTTCAATTTTGGCTGTGTCCTCTGGTGTCAGATTTCAGCAGTGCCCTGTGCAATGCCCTGCCTCTCGCACTCCATTGTAAATCAATGTTGTGCCCCGGTGACACACACACACACCCCACAACTGAATCAATTGTGCTCCCTAAATCTTCTTCTGTCCTAGTTTTACTGCTTTTTTTTAATGAGGAACATGTATTTTAAAAAATAAAAATCCCAGTGACATTCTCCACCTTCATCCAGAAATGGCAACTTCATTCTTTCACTGTTGGAAATTTACCACTTCGAGATAAGCTAACAGGAAGGATTCAAAATCTGCGGGACCAGAAATTCACAGAAGACTGGTGTAAATTTACAGACTATCTGAAAAGTAATTGTGATGATCAGACTACGTTTGTAGGTTTGCAAGAAGTTTTGTGAGGTGAATTATTGGAACTATTGCAAAAATTGATAAAGAGGAGGAAGGTTAGTTAAGATAATTAAAGGCAATATGAATTTAAGAAATGCATAAGAAGTGGTTAAAACGGTGGGTCATCAGAGGTGCTGATGGAAGTCCAAAAAAAGATTGTATAAGTGGTGAAACTTTGTGGTATGTATTATAATTTATATGTTAAAATTAATAAAAATTATTATATTAAAAAAAGATATTTACCACTTCCTTCTCTCACTCTCTCTGAGAGATGGGCAAAGAAGCACACTCTTTACCTTCTCAGGAGCACTTTCACCTATTGTTTTCCATATACAGTACAGTGGTACCTCGGGTTACAGACGCTTCAGGTTACAGACTCCGCTAACCCAGAAATATTACCTCGGGTTAAGAACTTTGCTTCAGGATGAGAACAGAAATTGTGCTCCAGCGGCGCAGCAGCAGCAGCAGCAGGAGGCCCCATTAGCTAAAGTGGTGCTTCAGGTTAAGAACGGACCTCCGGAACGAATTAAGTACTTAACCTGAGGTACCCCTGTATATGAGAAAGAAAGAAAATAAATTTTGGCTGTGTCCTTTGGTGTCAAATTTCAGCAGCGCCCTGTGCAATGCCCTGCCTCTCGCACTCCATTGTAAATCAAAGCTGTGCCCCTGTGGCACACACACACACACACACACACACCCAGACAACTGAATCAGTTGTGCTCCCCTCAATCTGCCTTAGTTTTACTGCTTTTTTTTTTTAATGAGGAAAATTAATTTTAAAAAAAAATCCCAGTGACATTCTCCACCTGCATCCAGAAATGTAACTTCATTCTTTCACTGTTGAAATTCACAACTTCGTTCTCTCCCT